TAGTAGAATGTAAAGATTTTCTATACCATTCTACATTCAGATTTTCCATTAAATATTAAATCAATAATTAAAACAATGTTATTTATTACTTTCCTATTGTTATATTAATTTGTAAGAATAAACAAAAGAAAAACTGTAAACAATCATATTCCATTGAATGATATGATTGTTTACTATACAGAAATGTAAATAATTGAAATATATTAGTAACTGGAAAGAATTGTCAAGGACAGAGTTGAACGAAGAATCCTGGTGAGTAGTAACCTATGATCCTCTATGAAGAGTGACAGGCTAAAGTAAGTAAGTAATTAAGTAAGTAAGGAATAAGGGAAGGAATGAAGGAACGAAAGAAATAGGTAAGTCATAAAATAAGTAATAAATATTTGAAGGGGTTTTGTGGAGATTGTAGTAATTTCAACAGTTGAGACCATGAGTCAATTGAAGATAGACCACCATGGAAAACCTGGAAGCACTGGACGGCCGTTTCTTCCTATTGTGAGACTCCTCAGCAGTGCGCACCCAAGACCCCGCCTCGTGGGATTCGAACTCAGGATCAGTGGGATTCAACCGTGTCTGTTGTGAGGTAGTAACTCACTGATAACAATAGTGGATGTGTCGCTCAACTTCTTGGATTAGTTGAAGTTAAACATTAACACCGTTGGATGCCGGCTCAGTGGTCTAGTTGATTAGGCGCCTGGCGCGAGACTGATAGGCCCTTGGTTCGAATCCTGCGAGGCAGGATCGTGGTTGTGCACTGCTGTGGAGTCCCACGATAGGACGGAACGGCCGTCCAGTACTCCGAAATTTTCCATGGTCGTCTAGCTTCAATTGACTCGTGATCTCAACTGTTGAAATTAATAAATATTCCTATAAATTTTGATATAAGTTTAATTGTTCATATGATTAAATGTTTGCATTGGCTTTAAAATTTCTGAACTGAGGTATAAACATACAACATTCTTATGAATACTTTACTGATTGATTCTATTGTTGATATTGAGCTATAAATATCAGTTAGGGTTTTTTTTGACACATATTGATCATATGTGTATTGTTGTAATTTTAGCAATTGTGTAAGAAAGAACAAACCAGCTTTCAGCTGAAGAGGAAATTAAGAAAAGACGATGGAAATGGTTAGGACATACATTACGCAAATCATCAAACTGCATCACAAGACAAGCATTTACTTGGAATCCTGAAGGGAAGCTGGAAAGAGGAAAACCAAAGAACACATTACTTTGGGAAATAGAAGCCTATATGAAAAGGATGAATAAAAACTGGAAAGAGGTGGAAATGATTGTCCAGGACAGGGATGCATGGAGAATTCTGATGAGTGGCCTATGTTCCTCTGCAAGGAGTAACAGGTGTAAGTAAGTAATTGTGTTATAATTTATTTTGAATAGACAATATTAAGGTGCAACTGAAATCCAGGAATCATATTTCATTTTATTTACGACTCGTTACCTGAGAAGTATCTGTAGCCCAGTATTGATATTCACATTGAAATTAAAAGTGTTATTAAAAACGCTAAATTTGTTATCTATTTAACTATTAAGTATAGATATTCAGAAGAGCTGATCAATTCATCTATCACTTTAAGTATTGATTACTATTCGCATAAACAAAATACTTAATCCAAGTTCTAATAAAACCATCATTAGTGTGCAATGTTAGTCGGATACATAAACCAGGGTGACATATATACTGTATTCCCTCCTCTTTCAAATATTTTCTATTTACTGTCATTCCTTGGTGAAAACCAATTTTTATAACTAAGGATAACTGGTTCAGTAATCAATAATTGTTCAATCCAGCATTGAAACCACTGACTATATATGGGGATTTATCATACACCAAATAAAATGAAACAAAACTATAAATTCACTGAGTGTTTTTTTACTTGTATCTTCCCATTGTTGTTTAGAACTGCAATTGATCAGTCAATTGTTGGTATATGTGCATCCTATGCCTTAGGTAACAAGTTTTAAAAGCAAAGTTTGCTAATAATGGAATCCAGGACGTGCGTCTCGCCCTATTTGATACTGGTTACCTAGAGTTGATGTTCACTCTGTGACTCAAACCCTGTACTGTTCCCTTCAAATGCCATAACATTATCCACTTAGCTACTTAGTCCTGACAGCCACATGCTTGCACAATGAGGTGAAGTTTTAAATTCACTTGTATCTTCATATATTTCACGATTATTATGATCATGATTGAGTCCGATATTTTTGTAGCATAAGAAACTGTATCAAAATATAGACAAGAATGTATACAGTTCCTATGTAAGATAACAAGACCTGTTTTTTTAAACGACTCTTTACTATTGAGAAACAATGAACAAATTCATATGTTTAGTCAAACATCTTTTATCTTGACAGAAAATGAGATCTTAGTTCAGATCAATTACAGATCAAACCAGCATAATGAGAGAAAAAACAAAAGTATGTTCCTAGATTCATGCACCAAAACTGTCTCATACTTTTTGTAGTTACTGTGAATACTGGGCTCGAACTCATATGAGGCTGTTTCAATTATTACAATTAAAAAGTTTGAACCTGAGATAAACTTTCTGTTTGCTACGCAATTAATTACGGGATGAACATAAAATTAGGTGTATAATGGTAAACTAATTAATAAAGTCAATGGATTTCAATGGATTGGCTTAAAAGTATTCGCTTTCTTCTCGTGATCGACTGGATTATGAAAACCCCGATATCTAAAGAAAACGCGGAATAAAATAGGTAGCCCGGAATCAACTAGAAGATTTGGACTCCGCAGATGACGTGACCTCTTATACACAGTAACAAATGTAGATTAAGGGAATTAGTGTAGGAGAAGCCTCTGCACCGTTAAGTCTCGATATACATAAGTGAAAAAAGTAACATCCTCAAATACAACACATAGAACACCAACCGAATCACACTCGATGGAGAAACTGTGGGAGAGGTGAAATGTTTCATGTATCTGAGAATTATCATCGACGAACCAGGAGGATCTTATGCAGACGTAAAGGTGAGGATTGGCAAATCAAAGACAGCATTCCTACAACTCAAGAACAAATCTGACCCAATACAAATGTCTGTGAGATAACAACAAATTCAGAACCTTTATTACTAAGGTCAACACAGTTCTACTGTACAGAGCTGAAACGTGGTGATATACCATCATCAAAAATGTACAAATCTACAGAAGATACCCAATATCTGTTGGTTGGAAACCATCAGCAACAATTGATTGTGGAAGAGATTAAAACAGCTTCCAGCTGAAGAAGAAATTGGGGAAAAACCATCCGATGTTGATAGGAAATACATTGAGAAAATGAGCAAACTACGTCACGAGGAGAGCGCTCACTTAGAATCTACTATGTTTGAAGCGATTACAAGTTCATCTATTCTGCAAACGGAACAAAGACTTTGTCACCAAAGACCAATAAGCTAGCCATTCTGATGCGTCCCAGTCTCGAAAGTTAGAAAGAGAAGTTCAAGTTCGAAACGGGAAAATATATTCCGCAAGCAGCCAGAAGCACGAGCAATGACGAAAAGTCTAGTCGTCAATACGCTCATTTATATATTGATTTGTACTTCCCCATCTTTGACTTATAATCAAAATAAATCACATATATGGAAAATACTTCATATAAGAATATCGTATGTTATACAGAATAAAATGTCAGGGGAATACGAAAGTGAATCCTTCACCGATTGATCATCAAGTTGAATTAAATGGAATTAATGTTGAATAAAAATCATAATGAGTAATCAATCTAATTTTGATCTTTCATCCCGTCATAACAGAATCTTGATGGGGAGCAGAATAAAGGAAGACCAAATAACACACTACGTCAGGAATTGGAAGCAGATATGAAAGATATGAATATTAACTGGAAAGGATTGTCCAGGACAGTGTTTTATGGAGAATACTATTAGTTGGCCTATACTCCTCCATGAGGGTTAAAACACAAATTCCAAACAAATCGACATTATTTATACATATTATTAACAAGTCTTCACAGACAGTAATTTATTATATTTCATTATTAATGACATAACTCATGCTGGTCAACTATCATACAATGGACATTTATGTTCTACTTGTCTACACAAGATACTCAATATCTGTCGGTCGGATACTATTAGCAACAATCTACTGTGGAAGACATTAAAAGAGCTTCTAGTTGAAGAAGAAATTAGGAAAAGACGTTGGAAATTGATGAGACATACATTACGGTAATGAGCAAACTACACCACGAGAAAAGCACTAACTTGGAATCGTGATGAGAAATGGAAACGAGGAAGATCAAACAAGACAAATCATTACATAAGGATTTAAAAGTTAATATGAAAAGAATTATTAGGAGATGAAAATAACTGGACTGGATTACCAAAGACAAGCTTAGATGATGAATTCTAGTGGGCGGTCTATACTCCTCCACATAGGTTAAAACATAAATTGTATATCATTGTAAACCACATAACTCATACTGATCAACTATCATACAATAAACAGTTATGTTCTACTTGTCTACACATGATACTCAATATCTGTTGATCAGATACTATCAGTAACAGACTACTGTGAAAAATGACAAACCACAATCCATTTGAAGAAAAAATTAAGAAAACCAGATTCCAGTAGACGAAGAAATCGAGAAAAAGCACTGGAAGTGGATAGAACATACATTGAGTAAAGCACTCAACTGTATCAAAAGGCAAGCCCTCATATGGAATCATCAAGGCCAAAAGAGAAGTGGAAGACCAAAGAACATATTACGACCAAGGAATGGAGACATACATAAGAAAAAAAAATGAACAAGAATTGAATAAAACTAGAAAGGATGGCTCAAGACAGAATAAGCTGGAGAATACTGATCATCGACCTATACTTCTCTATTGGAAGTAGTAACAAGTATAAATAAGTAATCAATTATCATTATAATAAATATTGAAATTCTATTCTAAATAAATAAACAAACAATGAATCAACTATATGATACTTACTTTTGTTGTATTCAATGTTTTATTGATATTTAATTTATGTTTTATATTTTTAATGATACTACTATTATTAGTATTATTATCATCATTATTATTATTATTAAGGAATTTTTTATCGATTATTGTACTATTATTATTATTATTTCTATCCATTATTATTGGATATAAATCCATATTATTTGGTAATACATTTTGATGATAAGATATTAATGGTATTGGTGATATAGTTGTTGAATAGGATTTTGATTCACGTCTTATTAATTTTGTATTATCTAAATATTTAATTGTACGATTTAATTTTTTATTACTTAATAATAAATCATCAATATGTGTATCTTTTGATGTATTCCCCATAAATTCTGGACTAATTGATGATGATAATAATTGTGAATCCATATTATCGATTAAGATTGTTGTTGTGGTAGTTGTTGCTGTGGTGGTGGTGGTGGTGGTGATGGTTGTTGTTGTTGTTGTTGTTACTAAGGGTTTATCACTATGTAATAATGAAATATAATCACTTGATTGATGAATACTATTATTTCTTGTATTATATGGTGTTAAAATAGGATAATTATTAATATTATATGATTTATTGATTTTATTTAAATTTTGTTGTTCACTATTTGATTGTAATTTATATTTTGATTGTTGATGATAATTTACCGATGATCTTGTAACCATACGTGGTCGTAATGATTGTGGTCTATCACGTTGAAATTCTTCATAATATTGATTATTTTGTTGATTAAAATCAATATTAGAATCTTCTTCAATTGGTAATGAGTTTGTATGCTTTAATAAAATTGATTTATTTGTATTATTAACACTATTATTAGCAGTTGTATTAGTATTAGCATCACGTTTATTTAACACTAATTCATGATCACTATTTGATAAATGAATATTACTTTCCATTCTAGGCTGTCAATATAATCAGACTTATTGATTAAATATTGGTGAAATATGTTTGGTCAATTCTTCTTCTTCTTCTTCTTTTTTCTCTCTCTCTCTCTCTTTATGTATATATATTGGGACTGTCCGTCTTCTACTTTTTTCTTCTTCTCCTATTTATTACAATTGTGTATCAATAGTTTCTGTGCCTATATATGATTGCACAATATTGAATGAATTTGGTTACATATAATCCGTGTTTAGTTTAGTTTTTTTTTTTAATTTTTATTTTTGAAGCTTTGTCAGACAAATTTTTTTTTAATATTTCTGAGAAGTTACATAACCGTTAACATTGATCCCCCGAAAAATAAAATAAAAAACAGCAGCAGCAACAGCAACAACAACAACAACTTTGTATATAATTTTGTATGTATGAATGTCAAAAGTATAACTAAGAAAATACTTTGTCTAATGTATAATGGTGTATGTCAAATAATTAATTATATTATAGCACATTCCCCCCCCCAAACAACAACAAAACAAAAAAAAATCAAAACACCAATCAGAATTCTGCAATATAATTGGCCAATTAAATTCAACCTTGGGAAATACATTCAAGGTCATTATATATGAACAAACACATTTCAATTGTCCGGTTCTAATTATAAACATATAAATGTACAATTTAAATAGCTAATGATATGACAGAAGAGTTTAATTTTAGTTAAAAGTTTTACAACATCAATTCATGTTGAACGTATTTCTATTTTGGGTTGTTTTTTCTTTTTTAGTTGCCATGTCAACTTGATGATAAGAATTTGTGGTTATTAGGACTCAGTAGTTAAGTGGATTGATCGATTGTTTTTAAAGCGAACGGTACTGAGTTCAAGTCATCAAATAGATGTTAATACTGGGATGCAGATTTATCCAGCTAATAATTTTTAAATAAAATGAGACGTGTATCATGAATTTTACTACTAGCCACTATCCATCTCTAATTATAATACTTGTGGTTTCATGCAATATCGAGGCAATCTGCACAGGATGGATATATACTATTAAGAGATTGATCCATTGCAGTCCTAAATAACAATAGAAAGATACAATTAGACAACATTAAGTGAATATAAAACTTCATCGCACTGTACGATGGCTGTCAGGACTCAGCAGCTAAGCGAATAATGTGACGGCATTTGAAATGAACGGTACTGGGTTCGAGCCTCGAAGTGATTCTCAACTTTGAGATGAAAGTATATCCAGCTGATAAGTCCCGAATAGGATGAGACGCATATCCTGAATTCCACTGCTAGCCACTATCCATTTTTGTTTAGATTGCTTGTGAATTAAGAGAATATCAAGGCAATCCGCATAGGATACACATATACCAATAAGAGACTGATCAATTACAGCCTTTACCATCAATGGGAAGATACAAGTAAATAATACCATGTGAATTTAAGTTGAAGATTCCTCGAAAGATAGTTTCTTCTTAATTACCAGTTATGATAAACATCGATTGTTATTCTAGAATTAAAAGGTTTATTACTTCGCTAAATAATTTTATCATCTCTGTCACTGTTATCATGACAAAACTGTTCTCGACGTTCTCAAGGGTAATTAATGGATATTGACTAATGATATTAAGTTATATTGGTGACTGAATTTAAATATTAATACCCTTGGTACCGGCTCAATAGTTTGGTGGTTAGACGTTCGGATGCAAGACTCAAGCTCCTAGGTTCAAGTCTTGCGTGTGCACTGCTGAGGAGTCTCATACTAAGATAAAACGGCTTTCCAGTGCTTACAGGTTTGTAATGGTAGTCTATATTAGGTTAACACATTCAACTGTAAAAGTAATACAATCTCCAAAACTCTAGTGATCAACAATACTGAACAAACATTACTTACTTACTTTACTCCTTAAATACTTTTCTTAGCAACAAAAAGACATTATTCGATGAATATCCTTAGTAGTTTGCACTTACAAACATGTATACAATTAATCTCAGACCTTTCAGTTAGTTTATCAATGATGTTTTTATATAAGGTCTGTTATTTGAAATGCATTATCCAACATTCTTATTTCATCCAATCGATGTCATTCTATAGTATTAAATAAAAATTTCCATAGGCTATTCAACTGAACAGTGACTTTATTTTCCTAGGAGGGTACTAGGTAAGAATTAATAGGTTACTAAGTAATTCAGTTATATTTACTACAAAATACATGTAAATCAATTAACATTACAAAGTGTACACATGTATTTAGTTATCGACTGATTTATCTCAAGTACGGCCTAGTTCAAAGTTGACTGTTTATCAGATATTACAATTATATATAACTTAGTGTTTTTAAATATTGTTTCACATCACTTGTTGATCACTTGTGGATTTGAGATGATGGAGAAGATTTGCAGCTCAAGTGTATGATATTGATGGAGTTTTGTTCTCTGAATTGGATAGTTTGACCGTGGAGCTTTCATCGTTCTACTGAACAACATCATCAGCACAAACTTCAGATAGAAGTGAAGCGTTCCAATTATTTCACGTGTTGTTCATAGCTTGTCCTGTAGATCTCGATGTTGATAGGTTCTTTACTTCTATCCGAAATTTGTGCTGATGATGTCGTTCAGTAGAACGATGAAACCTCCACGACCAAACCATCCATTTCAGAGAATAAAACTCCATCAAAACTTTTTGGATTCATTGTTAATGCACAATCAAATTTTGATATATAGTTTAACCTTCTTCATTGAATTGAGTAGTATCAATCTGTGTTCCTTTATAACAAGTATCAGGTACCAATTGTTCTTCTTCAGTATTAGCAAAAGGGTTTTTTCTAGTTATTACAAGGGATGAGTACTCATTATTCATTACGATTGAATCACAGATCTCTTAAATAGATCGTGACCATCGCATGTGAAATGCTGAAGTCAACCATCTACAGATGGCAAGTTTGTTGTTGTTGTATTGAATCATTATTGAATGAGTTAACTAAAATATGCATTAGGTATTGCCAAACATCACCTGTCAAGGTGAGCAACGTTTTCCTCTATAGAAATAGGCTGACAGAAAGTTAGGTACAGCCATCCAAAACATCGCATCAATTCATGAAGTCATTGATTGTTTTGCTATTCCGTGTTCATATGCTCAAACTAACTGATTTAGATGTAGTAGGTGATTGTCTCTAGTGATTGAAACTATAGAGTGAAACAACTCATAATCCTTATCAATGATCCAAATGCATTTGCTTGATACTTCCATATCCTACTACTCTGGATATGTCTTGGTAATTTTATCGTAGACCGATACAGATGTAGGTAGTCATTCTCAGCCCGAACTATGGCTAATAAAATTTTTATCAGCCTTTATGATTAAATAGAATTAAACTGGTTACTACCTAACTAAAAGTTCACTTGCTAATCTATAAATTATTACAATCATTAAATTAATTGTGACTAGCTGTCTAAGTAAGATAATCAATATCCGTTAGCCGGATACCATCAGTGACAATCAACTATAGAAGATGACAAACCAGATTCCAGTTGAAAAGAAAATTAGGAAAGATATTGGAAGTGGATAGGACATGCATTACGAAAATCATCAAACTACGTCATGAGACAAACGCTAACTTAGAATCGTGATGCGAAACGGAAAAGCGGAATTTCAACGAACACAATACTTCCGGAATTGGAAGCAAACACTAAAAGAATGAATAGCAACTGGAATCAACTTAAAAGGATTGTCCTGGACAGAGTTGTATAAAAAATGTAAGTGGGTGATCTATGCTCCTCCATGACAGGTAACAGGTTGAAGTAAGTAAGCAACTGACAGAAATGTAGATAAATTTGTGTCATCATTATTATTGTACTTTACTAAGTATGGTTTCTTAAGAATGTTCGTTTTCATTTTATTTTTTTTCAACTTCATTTCATTGCATAAGTTTGAAAATCATGTTGATCCCTATAGCTATTATCGTTTTATCAAAGCGATATCAATCAGATCAATTATATTTAGTAAACGTTTTGATTTGTATCGAATGACTCAGTTGCGAAACTTTGATTGAACCTTCAAATAAAAGTCATCTTCTACATGTATGAAGTATATGTACAACATTCAAATTGATGTAAGGTATCCTTGTGTAATGGTTAGCATTCTTTTAGCAAGGTTATTTTCCATAGGATAAGGTTGTTGATCCCACACCCAACCCTCCTACTTTACCCGCTCTTGAAACCGAGAGTAACCCTAGAAGTGCTACAGACGGATTCGGACAGTTACCATCAACAATAGCCTACTGCGCAAAAGAACATACCAGCTTTGATATGAAGAGGAAATTAGAAAAAGATGTTGGAAGTGGATAGGACACATATTACAGAAATCACCTAACTGAATCACGAGACAAGCGCGTTAACTTGCAATCGTGATAGGAAACGGAAAAGAGGAAGACCAAATAACACACTATGTCGGGAATCGAAATTAAACACAACAAAAGAATAAGTATTATTTGGAACCAAATTGAAATAATTGCCCAGGACAAAGTTTGTAGTGTCGGTTATTATGTTAAGCCCATATACCGCCTTATTTTAGCTTTCGGACAGCTCAATCTATTCATTCTACTTGAGTCGCATTTTGACCTTGTTAATTATTCGCTTATCAATTTTGACTGTTTTTATATGAGCTCTGTAACTCACTTATGTGCGCCTATAAATACTGATCAACGCTTAACTAAATGGGCATTGACTTACCCGCCATCTCTAATGCGCGTCGTTTCTCTTTTCTCTATTCCATTCAGTTTATATACAAAATATATGTATTCACAAGTCCATTCTCGTTATTCAACTTATTTAATTCCGTCATTGACTAACGCCATTAAAGTCGATGATTATATACGGGGATAGTTGACAATATGCATTCATACAATCTACTTAGAGTCAGATTCACGGGCCAATAAAGTGGAGTGCCCATCAACAAACATCGTCCTATCTAAACGACAACAAAATAACGGGCCCCACAAGTTAAATGAAGAATATAGGTAGCTGATCTATGCTCTTCCATGAAAGGTAACAGGCATAAGTCAATAAACTATACATTTATATTCACAAAATCAATATCATGTTAGAATTCAGTCGAATAAACAACTAAATCAATAATCTGAACAAATCATTCAATATTCAATATGCACTCACTTTGAATAATAAGGAAGGTATAATTAATTACTAATAGGCTGATTGTTTAATTTTAATTACTTTTCATAAATCAATAAACTTATACAAAAACATGATCAGTCTAGATACATTGGTTTACATTGATTCATAAGTAGTTTCAAGAAAAGGTGAATAGTGACTAGTAATGAGATCTAGGAAACATGTTTCTTTCTATTTGGAACTCGTCAGCCGGATGTATGTGCATCTTAAATTTGATGCACACTCCGGGACTCGAACTCCAATACCACTCACTTCGAACGTCAACGCGTTATTCTCATGATTCACAAGTTCTTGTTCTTTTTTTTTCTTACTATTTTCTGAA